CGAATGCCCCATCTGAAACCTCCCCCCTCCCCAATTCATTTCATATGCGGGGGGGAGGGTGTCACTGGAAAGATGCCAGATTAGCTTGATGGGGACAGGGCCTGGGAGAGCTTCCCCGCAACGGACAGCCTCACTCCGGGGGTCCCACAGACGGGGGAGAAGGAGGGAGCTACAGCTGCCAATATAGTACCAAGTGGGACTCGCCCTTCTGGTCCGAGCCCAGCGACCCTGTGCAGCTGGTGGTAGCAGGTGAGGGTCCTGGCTCGGCGTCCCCACACGCAGCCCCTCCCACAGCCGGACCCTCAGGGGGTCTTGGCCCCAGTGGGATGCTGTCACGGAGTGTGGGGGAGTCCAGGCCCTGCACCCCTCTTCCTGGGATTCACTGAGACTCTCAGCCAGCCAGTAAAACAGAAGGTTTATTGGACAACAGGAACACAGTCCAAAACAGAGCTTGTGGGTACACCCAGGACCCCTCAGTCGAGTCCTTCTGGGGGAGCAGGGAGCTTAGACCCCAGCCCTGGGGTTCCCTGCGTTCCTCCACCCAGCCCCAAACTGAAACTAAACCCTGCAGGCTCCCTGCTGCAGCCTCTGTCCACATTCCTGGCAGAGGTGTCACCTCCCCGCCCCCTCCTGGCTCAGGTGACAGGCTCTCAGGTCTCCCATCCCCAGGGCACATTCCCAGGTCAACACTCCCCCCTCCCTGCTGCCTCACATCCTCACAGATGCTCAGGGCCAGGCTCTGGCCTGAGCCCTGGACCCAGCAGAAGGGACCCCCCGGTGGGAGCGGGGACAGAATCACTGGGGGGTTCCCCAGCCAGGGGGTGGCAGCAGCCGCTGGAGTTTCAGGGCTGATGGCTCGGGGCTCAGTTCCCTCCCTCCCCCATCCCAGCCCATGCTCGTTTGCATCCCATTGAGGGAACTGACCCAGCTGGGCCCCAGTAGCCGGATCCCCCACCCCACCACGGAGCCAGCGGGAGAAGGTGAGCGGGAGAAATGGAACAATTAATCCCCCAGGGAACAGGGCTCCCCGCTCAGATGCCCAGGGGGCTTTCGGGCCGTTTGGAGAGGGCTGGTCCCTGCAGACAGAACTGATGGGTTCAATTCTTCTATATAGAGGGTGAAGGACAGATCCATGGGGACGGACGGCCACGGGTCGAGGGGATGTGGGTCCTTGGGAACATAGGGCGGTGGGCAGATGGGAGCACGTCTGGTGAGGGATGGAAAGATGGACCAAGATCTTGTCTACATGATAACGGGATCCAAAATGACGAATCCCGTGTGGTTCCCAACCCCCACTGGTGATCTCAGAGCGAGTCTGGGCTGTCAGAATTCGCGCCCCCTGGGTTCATACAGCCCCGTTGGGCAGATGACGAGCTCACCTGTACCTCTGTAGACACAGGGACGTTCCTCCTCCGAAATAGGGACAGCCACGCCCAGACCTGCTCCGCAGTGACTCCAAGGGTGAATGGCACCTGGCTGGGGCGGGGACTGTCTCTGTGTTTGTACAGCTCCGAGCACATGGGGGAGCTGGCCCACGACAGGGGCTTCTGGTAATTAATACTAGTCAGTAATGATTTTGGTTCCAGCTGTTGTGGAGCCAGGCAGGGCCTGTATCTGCGCTCAGGGTCCTGCTGGCCCGATCTTTCCCATTCTGGGATCCCCAGGGTGCTGAGCTGGCCCGAGTCCCTGGGTCCCATCCTCTCCCCAGGGACGCCAGCTCAGCCCAGGGAAGAGCCGCGATTGCATTTTGGGGGGAGGAGAGGTTCCCTGTATAACCAACCACAGAGAGCAGGACTCCAGCTTTCTCTCCGCTGTGCCCCACCCCTGACAGACGCTGGTTCTATTCCCGCAGGGGGAACCAAACTGACTCAGCTGGGAACGACGCTGGCTCCCACCCGCCCAGGCAGCACAGGACCAGGTACCAGTACTGGGGGCAGGAAATCGCCATCAACCCCCCCAGAAGCAGGTTTGTGCAGCCCAAGGAGCCGCCCTGAGGGGGAGCCACGAGGGGCTGTCTGCTTGGGACAGGGGCAGATCCCCAAAGCGAATGCCCCATCTGAAACCTCCCCCCTCCCCAATTCATTTCATATGCGGGGGGGAGGGTGTCACTGGAAAGATGCCAGATTAGCTTGGTGGGGACAGGGCCTGGGAGAGCTTCCCCGCAACGGACAGCCTCACTCCGGGGGTCCCACAGACGGGGGAGAAGGAGGGAGCTACAGCTGCCAATATAGTACCAAGTGGGACTCGCCCTTCTGGTCCGAGCCCAGCGACCCTGTGCAGCTGGTGGTAGCAGGTGAGGGTCCTGGCTCGGCGTCCCCGCACGCAGCCCCTCCCACAGCCGGACCCTCAGGGGGTCTTGGCCCCAGTGGGATGCTCAGGGCCAGGCTCTGGCCTGAGCCCTGGACCCAGCAGAAGGGACCCCCCCGGTGGGGAGCGGGGACAGAGTCACTGGGGTTCCCCAGCTAGGGGGCAGCAGCCGCCGCTGGAGTTTCAGGGCTGATGGCTCGGAGCTCGGTTCCCTCCCTCCCCCATCCCAGCCCATGCTTGTTTGCATCCCATTGAGGGAACTGACCCAGCTGGGCCCCAGCAGCCGGATCCCCCACCTGCCCATGGAGCCGGCGGGAGAAGGTGAGTGGGAGAAATGGAACAATTCATCCCCCAGGGAACAGGGCTCCCCGCTCAGATGCCCACGGGGCCTTCAGGCCGTTTGGAGGGGGCTGGTCCCTGCAGACAGAACTGATGGGTTCAATTCTTCTATATAGAGGGTGATGGACAGATCCATGGGGACGGACGGCCACGGGTCGGTGGAGATGTGGGTCCTTGGGAACATAGGGCGGTGGACAGATGGGAGCACGTCTGGTGAGGGATGGAAAGATGGACTAAGACCTTGTCTACGTGATAACTGGACCCAAATGTTGAATCCAGTGTCGTTCCCAACCCCCCCCGGTGATCTCAGAGCGAGTCTGGGCTGTTGGAATTCGCGCCTCCTGGGTCGATACAGCCCCGTTGGGCAGACGAGCTCACCGGTACCTCTGTAGACACAGGGACGTTCCTCCTCCGAAATAGGGACAGCCACGCCCAGACCTGCTCCGCAGTGACTCCAGGGGGGAATGGCACCTGGCTGGGGCAGGATCTCTGTGTCATTTGTCCGTATAGCTCCGAGCACACGGGGCAGCTGGTTCATGATGGGGGCTCCTGGTGATTAATACTAGTCAGTAATGATTTTGGTTTCAGTTTCCGTGGAGCCAGGCAGGGGCTGTATCTGTGCTTAGGGTCTCACTGGGCCGATCCTCCCCGTTCTGGGATCCCAGGGCCGCTGAGCCAGCCCGAATCCCTGGCTCACGTCCTCTCCCCAGGGACGTTGGCTCAGCCCGAGGAAAAGCCACCATTGCCGGTTGCAGGGAGGAGAGGGTCCCCGTATAACTAACCACAGACACTAGGGCTCCAGGTTTCTCACCCCTGTCCCCTGCCCCGACAGACGCTGGTTCTATTCCCTCAGAGGGAACTGACCCGACTCAGTCAGGAGCGATGCCGGCTTCCACCTGCCCAGGCAGCACGGGGCCAGGTACCGGGGCTGGTGGGGGGTAATCAACATCAAACCAGCCCTGGAAACAATCCCACCTCGGTGGCCCCACAAACTGGGTTGCTATGCTGCCCACTGGCACCACAAAGCCGCCCGTGTGGGGCACAGCTCAGTGCGTATCCCCCTGGAGAATGGCTCTGGGGATAATGATCCTGTGTATCCCATCTGTCTGCCTGAGTCTACAGACAGCCCTGGGGAATGGCTCAGAAGCAGGGATCCCCCTTTGCAGGGGTGCTGCCCAGTATGGCATTATCCCTGGAACCTGTGAATGCAGATAGACATGGCGTTAACACTGGAACCCACTGATTCAGAGTGACATATTGCTGACTCTGGAACCTAATGATGGCTGTTCCAATGACAACACCGTTACATCTTCCGCTGCTGATCACTTCACCAGGGCACAGTTCTCCCAATGATCTCAAAGCGCCCTCTCCGGCCAGAAGCCCCCTCCAACTGCCATCCCCCCACCCATATGGTTCCTATGCAGAAGTGAGCTGAAGCTGCTGAGAAATTCCCAGGACAGGGGCAGGACCCGAGGGCAGGGGGGCGGGTGATGCAGGATCTGGGCCCAGCTGGCTTCACAAGCATGGGGCCTGAGGTAGACCCCCCACACACACTCTGCCCCCACCCCAGTACAGCCCTCTGCCTTTGGGAGGGAACCCCCTGACCCCTATTACCCAGAATCCCCTCTGCTCCTGCCCCTCCCCCCATTAGCCCCACAGAATATTCTGCTGTGGGTCCCTGGGTCCTCGAGGGGAAGGCTCTGCGGCAGCAGGTAACGAACCAGCCGCTCATGGCGCTCACGGCCTGGTGCTGCTTCCCAGGTGGATCGGAACCAAGCGCAGCACCGGATCTGACCCGCCGCATCATGGCCGGGGTGAGTGCGGTGGCCGCCGGCCTCCTCCTTCTCCTCCTGGCCTTCCTCTGCTACAGAAGCACCCAAGGAAGTGAGTGCCCCGCCCAGCGAGGGAAGGGTTAAACCCGCTGCTAAGCCGGGCTGGGAAGGGGTCACGGCTTGGATGGGAGATAGGCCTCAGGGGGTGCTCTCCCCTGACAGTGAGAGAGGGTGACCAGATAGCAAGGGTAAAAAATCGGGACGGGGGGGGGGTAATAAGAGCCTATGTGAGAAAACGCCCCCAAAATCAGGACTGTCCTCTAAAATCGGGACTTCTGGTCACCCTACAGTGAGAGCGGGCCCCAGACCCCATGGGCAGCACTAGGGGGCGCTGTGTTGCAGTAAGAAGGGCAATGGGGGCACCAGGGGGCGCTGTGCTGCAGGGGGCAGGGACCTGTCTCTAGGGTATCCAGGCTCTGCAGCTGGAGGGGGCGGGGCTCCCCAGGCAGAGTGGTGTGTGGGACTCCCTCCTGGGCCCCCCATCCCAGCTGCCCTATAGGGCTGGGGGGCAGGGCTGGTACATGGGGATCCAGGTCGACTCATGGACGATTTTGCTTCATGTCCCTGCAGGGAAAGGACCAGACCCAAGACAGAGCAGGTAAGACCCCAGCTCTGCGCCTCACCCCCGATCTACCTGCCCCACGACACAGGACTCCTGGGTTCTCTCCCCAGCTCAGGGAGGGGAGTGGGATCTAATGGTTAGATCAGGAGGGCTGGGAGCCAGGACTCCTGGGTTCTCTCCCCAGCTCAGGGAGAGGAGTGGGGGGAGGGATAGCTCAGTGGTTTGAGCATTGGCCTGCTAAACCCAGGGTTGTGAGTTCAATCCTTGAGGGGGCCATTTAGGGATCTGGGGCAAAAATTGGGGATTGATCCTGCTTTGAGCAGGGGGTTGGACTAGATGACCTCCTGAGGTCCCTTCCAATCCTGATATTCTATGATTCTATGATCTATGGTTAGATTGGGGGCGGCTGGGAGTCAGGACTCCTGGGTTCTCTCCCTGGCTCTGGGAGGGAAGGGTTCTGGGAGGGGAGTGAGATCTAATTGATAGATCAGGGGGGCTGGGAGCCAGGACTCCTGGGTTCTCTCCCCGACTCGGGATGGGAAGTGGCATCTAGTGGTTACAACGGGGGGGGGGGGTAGGAGCCAGGACTCCTGGGTTCTATCACTATCTCTCTCTCTCTTTCTCCCAGGAGGGAGTCCAACGCTGCAGCCACAGTCTGTAAGTCACACATGAGGGGACAGCCATGGAGCAGGGGGGAAGGGCGGGTGTCCCCTGGCAGGGGCCGTGTCCTGGGGGGGGGGCAGGGTTAATGCTGATGTGGGTGCACCCCTGACTCACTGTGTACCTTTGGGGGCACCCTTGCCACACTCTGTATCTCAGTTTCCCCTGCTGCACCATGGGGCTAGTGACCCTGCCCCACCCCAGTGCGCTGGGGGGCAGGCTGGCCAGCCTGCAAAAGGCTCAGATGGGGGTGGGGAGCTGGGCCCGGGGTGAGGGACCCAGCCACTCACCGAGGTGTGTGTGTGTGTGTCTATTCCACAGACACCCTCATCGGCGAAGGAAAGGAGCTGGATGTCCTGGTAAGTGGCCCCCACTCCTCACCACCCCCCCCCAGCACCAATGGACCATCCAGCCTCCCCCCGCCCAGCCACCATCCAGCCCTGCACAGGTCCCACTAGAGCCATGTTCTGACGCTGGCCCCCCAGACTCTGCCTGGTCTCTCACCCTCCCCTCCCCCGTGCCCCCTCAGGGCAGACACCGGAGCTGGGGATCAGCACCGAGGCTCCCCCACAAGAGGGGCGGGAGACCCAGAACACAGAGAATAAGAGCCTGACCCTGCACCCCGCAAACTCACCTTGACCCCCTCAAACCATCCTGCAAACGTTTGCATGAGATTTGCGGAGGGTCAGCGGAATTCCATGGGGGGCAGCTGCCAGGGTGGGGGAATTTCCCTCATCTCTGCCCCATGGGGCTCTGTGGGCTGGAGTGAGCGGGCGGGGAGGGGGGGGGGGTGATCCTGGATTCCCTGGGGGGCAGGGGGAAGAGCAGCTCTCAGGAGCCCCCTGCTGGACAGGACAGAGCGTGTCAGAGCAACTGTGCATGGGGGGCGGAGCTGTGGGGGGCATCGCTGCCCCCTAGTGGCTGGGATCAGAACAGTCTGATGTGTGCGGGTTGGTGTTCGCACCCCGTTGCCTCTCTCCCCTCCCAGCCCCAGGAGCCCGACCCCGACTACGCTGAGGTGGACACCCAGGTGCTGTAGGCCAAGCGGGGGGTGTCCGACCCCTGCCCCCGAGCCCGTCCTGCCATCAGCGTGAGCCGGGGGTGCAGGGGCGCCCCCCCACAGCGTGAACCCAGGGGGAGTCATCAGAGCGACGGGACAGGGAGCAGCAGCCACCAGGGGGTGACAGATTGATTCCCCCCCCCCAGAGAACGGGCTCGGCTTATAGCCCCCCCATAGCCCTCCCTCCAGCTGGTGCCGCCCCACCCAGCCCCATGGGTGGGGGGCCAGGAGGGCTCAGCGCCATGAGGGGGGAGGGGACACGCCGTGGCAGCTGTTTGTGTTATTTTGTATCCTGTTAATCTCCAGATTTGTAATAAACACAGAACCACAAACCTGCCCTCCCCCGGGCACCCTGCAGCCCCCCTGTACCCGCGCCGGGAGTGTGTGTTTCACCTGGGGGAGGTGGGATCACTCTGGGGTGGAGCGCGGGGGCTGGGTATCCAGGGACCCCTCGCCCAGCACTGGGACGTGACACCTCTGGGGTGGGGTGCGGCAGCTGTTCCACCCAGAGAGTCAATGGCTGCGAACCGGACGGGCCCGGTGACCGAGCTGGCCGAGCGGCACGGGCAGGAGAGAACGGCCAGCCCGGAAGCAGTGTAACCTGGTGCTCCAGCCCCCCGCCCGCCTGGCCCTTCCCCACAGGGGCCCCGGGCCCTGCCGCTGGGCCGACCGGGGAATCCCCGCTAGCTGGGAGCAGTGTGGGGGCTACGACACAGAGCAGGGCATTCCTGGTTCCCTCCAGCAGGGGGCGGCCAGGACACACAAACATATGCCCCACACTCTGACATCCCCCCTGGCAGCCCCTCCCCGCCCTTTGGCCCTTGCAGGGGTGGGGGAGCTGCTCTAGCAGACCCATTCCCATCCCCACTCATGCACCGAGCTGCCAGGCCTCAGCTCCGGGTTGCCAGGTGGCACCGACACCAAGGGCCGAACAGGGGAGTGGGTGGAGAACCCTCGTGGGCAGGGGGGAGGGTGCTTTGATGGCAATGGGGGGGGGCTCTGGGGAGCGACCGGCAGCCCCCCCCCCCCGCCCGGGCGCACGGCCTTTGTTGTGATTGCTGTTTAGCATTCTGCCGTGTGCCTCCGCTAAGGGCTGCTAGGAAGCCGGCGGCCTTACCGGCATCTCGCCTCTGCCAGGAACCAGCTGCTTGTAAACACCGGGCCAGCCAGAAAGCCCGTGGGAGGGCTCCCCTCCCCACGACTGTGTGTGCCACGGGGGTAAGTGGGCCTGGAGCACCCCACACACACCCCCACCCAGAGCAACATACACAGCTCCTCCCTCCACCGATGCACCCCCATCCCCACCCCCAGCAAGGGGCAGAAGGGACCTCTGGGACTGGGCCTCTCTCTTGGGGTGGAACGGGGGACAGGTGGCACCACGGGGTGTCATGCCTGGGGGGTGGGAGGGAGACACCTGGGAGAGGGGCTGAGACCCAGCGTGAAGGCCACAGAACAGGAATAACACTACTGGGTGGGAGCCGGCACCCCCTAGAGGGGAGACGCCCCGTGCCCCATTCCCCACCCCCCTGAGCCAGCCAGTCCCCGCCCTGGGGCCGGATGGGAGCCGGTGCCCCCTAGAGGGGAAAGGTCCCGCGCCCCATTCCCCGCCCCCGCTGAGCCAGCCAGTGCCCGTGCTGGGGCCGGATGGGAGCCGGCATCCCCAGAGGGAAGAGGCCCCGTGCCCCATTCTGCGCCCCCCTGAGCCAGCCAGTCCCTGCGCTGGGGCCGGATGGGGCGTCCCTCTCGCACGCTGTCCTCTGGGGCCCTGTGTGTGTCACTCAGGCTGGGAAATGAAATGAACTCACTGCCAACCAGCTGCAGCCAAAGGGGAACCTGTCGTGGGGGGTGGGGGGTGAGCAGGGTTCCTGCACATGGCGTGGGGAAGGGAGGGGGGCAAGGAGTGAAAGGGGAAAAAGAGAAGAGGATGGGGGTGGGGGCTGGGAGCCAGGACTACTGGGTTCTATGCCCACCTCTGGGAGGGGAGCAGGGTCTAGTCGTTTGAGCTTGGTATAGTGGTTGTGAGAGGGCAGGACTCCTGGGTTCTCAGCCCAGTTCTGCCACAGCTGTGGACAAATCCATTCTCAGTGCCTCAGTTTCCCCATCTGCCCCATGGGGTGAGGGCTCTTGGCTGGCCCCAGGGGAGGGTTGCAAGAGTTGGTGAATTCCCAGCAAAGGGCCATGGGCTGTGTTCAGGCATCCAGCCCGCATCCGGGGGCCGGCGATGGAGGAGACCCAGCGAGGGCTCAGGACCCCCGGGACCTGGCTCTGAGAACAGGCAGCAGGGAGAACTGAGCACCCAGCCAGGTGCTACTGACACCTGTCAATCATCCGTCAACCCCCCTACTCCACCATAGGGCTCTGACACCCCCTGGCCACTCCCCAATACCTCAGGGGTGGCCGAACCTCAGTGGGGGGGATAGCAGGGATTCTCCCTCCGGACTCCTGGGTTCTGCAGAGGTTCCCCCAGACTCTCTCTCTGGGGGACAGGGGCCACTATGCCTGCTGCTCTATTGGAGGTGGGGGGATAGTGGCTGGTATTGGAGGGGTGCCCTCCCCCAGCGGGGGGCACCAGCAGGCCCCCAGATTTTAAATGGTTTTTCGTTATATCCCTTGTTCAGCTCCCATCTGGCCACAGTCCAGGGACTGGCTGGCTCAGGGGGGCGGGGAATGGGGCAGGAAGCCTCTCCCCTCTAGGGGGCGCCAGCTGAGATCCAGCCCTAGATCAGTAGATACCAAAAGTCCTTCTTGGGTGACTCATGTGTGTAATGAGTTTGTTGGGTCTCAGCCCCGCTTCCTGGGCACCCACAATGCGCAGCCCTCTCCTCCGCCAGGTGGTTTAGTGGAGCCCTGGAAGGGCCAGGGATACTGGCCCCTTTTTGCCCCCACCCCCCCGTGTGTGGGGGGGACTTCAGGGATGAGATAAAGAAAGAGAAAAATGTGAAGTGCGAAGAAAGAAAGAAAGAAAGAAAGAAAGAAAGAAAGAAAGAGGGAGGGGGAAGGACACAAAGGGAGAGGGGTAGGACAGAAAGGGGGGAAAGCACAAAGTAGAAGGAGGAGGGGGAAGGAGGTGGGAGAGGGAAGTGGGGCAGGGGGGAGAACAGTGGGGGGGAAGAGCAGAGGAAGGAGGAGGGGGAAGGAGGTGGGAGAGGGGCAGCGGGGCAGGGGGATTGAGGGGAGGGCAGGGAGGGAAGGGGTAGACGGAGGACGGGGGGAAGGAGGTGGGAGAGGGGAGCGGGCAGGGGCGTCGGGGGGGAGTGCAGTGGTGGGGGAGGAGCAGACGAAGGAGGAGGGGGAAGGAGGTGGGAGAGGGGCAGCGGGGCAGGGGGTTTGAGGGGAGGGCAGGGCGGGAAGAGGTAGACGGAGGTGGGGGGGAAGGAGGTGGGAGAGGGGAGCGGGTCAGGGGGGACTCAGAGGGAAAGGGCAGTTGGTGGGGGAAGCATCAGACAAAGAAGGAGGGGGAAGGAGGTGGGAGAGGGCGGCGGGGCAGGGGGATTGAGGGGAGGGCAGGGAGGGAAGGGGTAGACGGAGGAGGGGGAAAGGTGGGAGAGGGGAGCGGGCAGGGGCGTCGGGGGGAGCGCAGTGGTGGGGGAGGAGCAGAGGAAGGAGGAGGGGGAAGGAGGTGGGAGAGGGCGGCGGGGCAGGGGGATTGAGGGGAGGGCAGGGAGGGAAGAGGTAGACGGAGGAGGGGGGAAGGAGGTGGGAGAGGGGAGCGGGCAGGGGGGAAACGGGGGGGACAGTGGGGGGGGGGAAGGGGCAGACGAAGGGGGGGGGTGAGCTCCGCTCCCAGCTTTTGGGAAGGTCTGTGACCGTCCCCTGTGCTCGGGCGGAAGGGTTAACGCCTGGGCTGTGTGTTTCTTGGCGGGGGCGGAGGGTTACGGGACTCCCCCCCAGGAGGGAAAGGGGAGGAAAGCCAGCCCTGCCCCCTCCCCGGTGTCCCTCAGCCCCGTGCAGGCAGCGAGGGGGAGGGACCACGGCGAACATCCCCTCCCTTTTACCAACAGTGCCCTGCACACTTCCAGGAATCACCCTGAGCCTGGGGGGGTTAACCCAGCTCCGCCTGCCAATCACAGCCCAGCCAGCCGGCCCCGAGCACCCCCTGTGGCCAATGGGATGGGGATGGGGCCCATTCACAAAAATAAATATGAGACCCCCCCCCACCCCCACCCCAGGATACACCCCCCCCCTCCCCAGTCCAGCCAGGAGAGACTCTGGCCGCGTGTCAATTTCAGCCTGAATTGGTGGGGTGGGGTGTGAAATTGACGAGATTAGGGGCCGGGCTGGGCGGGGGAGGTGGGGGGGAAAGACCTTTCCTGTGCCGCCCCACCCCCCCCCCCCCCGCCCCAGACCCACAACTCCCAAAGCATCCAAGCCTCCTGCTTGTGCGAAAGGGAAAGTGGTTTTTCCTCCTTCCCCCTGCGGTGCCTACCGCGGCTTCCCGGCAGCTCCCCTCTCCAGGGGCCCTGCTCCCTCCCCCACCCCGGGAGATTGGGGGGCCGGCTGCCTGGCCAGGATGTGCCCCCCAAGGGGGAGGCTTTCCTGTGACTTGGGGGAGTGGAGTTGATTTGCTTTGTTTCCCTCCCCCCCCCCCTCCCCTGCCCAGAGAGGACTCCAGGAATAGCTTCCCTTCCCATCACGCCAGAATAGGTCTACACGGGCGAGCGAAATCGCATCAATCTGGACTGGTTTGGGATCAGAAAGGGGTGAGTTAAAACGGGCGATTATTTCGGGCGGGAGCGACCGTGGGCAGACACTCACAAAAACTACCCACCAGGGGATTTTGCAAGTAGTTTTTATTTTTTGCCCAGGGGTGGGGGGCCTGGACCTAGGGCACCCCTGGCACAACTGCCCCCAAATTTGCCCCGCTGCCCGCTGCCCCCTGCCCCCCGTCACCCATGGAGCAGAGCAGCCGGCAAGACAATGGGACTTTAGGGTACTTTTAGCAACACCCAACTCCCTGCTCCAAGGAGCTGGGGCTGTTAATGAGGATAACAACAATCCTCATTAAGAAGGGGCCTGCCCGGGAGAAATTGGGGGCTGGTTGATTTGAAGGAAGAGCTTTCCAATGCCTGGTTTAAAGGGATTATTTTAAAGTTTTCAGGGGGTTTTGGTTTTTTTTAAGGGCAATTTTTGTCCTCTCCCCCCCCCCTTGGACCCTCCTGACCTGTCTCTTTTTGCCACTGTTTTAATTCTGCCATTCCTTAATTGTTAATTGTTAATATCCCACTGATTTGGGGTCAGTTTACACTTGGGGCTTGTTTTTTAACCTTGGTTTTAGGTTAGTTATTTGGGGTCAGTTTCTGGGCTGGTTTGGGGGTGGGGGGGTTAACTGGTTTTAAGTTAGTTATTTGGGGACAGTTTCTGGGCTGCTTTGGGGGTGGGGGGGTTAACATTGGTTTTAGGTTAGTTATTTGGGGTCAGTTTCCGGGCTGCTTTGGGGGTGGGGGGGTTAATATTGGTTTTAGGTTAGTTATTTGGGGTCAGTTTCTGGGCTGGTTTGGGGGTGGGGGGTTAACATTGGTTTTAAGTTAGTTATTTGGGGTCAGTTTCTGGGCTGCTTTGGGGGTGGGGGGGTTAACATTGGTTTTAGGTTAGTTATTTGGGGTCAGTTTCTGGGCTGCTTTGGGGGTGGGGGGGTTAACATTGGTTTTAGGTTAGTTATTTGGGGTCAGTTTCTGGGCTGGTTTGGGGGTGGGGGGGTTAACATTGGTTTTAAGTTAGTTATTTGGGGTCAGTTTCTGGGCTGCTTTGGGGGTGGGGGGGTTAACATTGGTTTTAGGTTAGTTATTTGGGGTCAGTTTCTGGGCTGCTTTGGGGGTGGGGGGGTTAACATTGGTTTTAGGTTAGTTATTTGGGGTCAGTTTCTGGCTGCTTTGGGGGTGGGGGGGTTAACATTGGTTTTAGGTTAGTTATTTGGGGTCAGTTTCCAGGCTGGTTTGTGGGGGGTTAACACTGGTTTTAGGTTAGTTATTTGGGGTCAGTTTCTGGGCTGGTTTGGGGTTTTTTTAACATTGGTTTTAGGTTAGTTATTTGGGGTTATGGGGGACTGGATGTCTCGATTTTATAAGGACCATGCCAATATTCAGGGCTTTGTCTAATATCCCCACCTATTACCTTCCACGCCGTCACGGTTTTTCACACTTGCTAGTTGGGGCCAGTTGACGGGTTGGGTTTTTTGACATTTAGTGTAGTTACTTGGGCTCACACTGGGATGCCCGGGCCGCGGGTGCCCGTCACACTGGCTCTGGGCCCCGGTACATCCAAAGAAGTGACGTGCGGGAGTGTGTTTCACTGCAATCAATGGGACAAATCCAAGCGGGTGAGGAAATCTGTGCCAGGCTCGAGGCTTTGACCCGGGAGGGTTTGCATGAGCCTTAGGAAAAGGGTTCCCAGAACTGGGCTCCCCGATTTCGTGGAGCACGATGCAGCTCAGGCCCTTCGTTCATTTCATAGGGTCAGGTTTTTTATAAGAGCTTGGTTTGAAATAATCTACCCGCCGGGTTTCTTGTTTTTTAGGCCCAACAAGAGTTCCTGTTCCCCCGGAGCTGGAGGTTTGTTCCAGCCTCAGGGTTTCCTGGAGGAAGTTGGAGCAGGGAGTGAATTTGGCGCAGCCTTAAAATGTTTGTTCCCCTTTGCCCCCACCCCACACACACACACACACACAGAGACAAAGTGGGATTTGCTCCCTGTTCTCTGGGGCTGCTGGGCTGGGGCAGCGGCAGGCAGAGAGCAGAAGAGTTTGTGGTGGTGTGTGTGTCTGTCTGTGTGTGTGTGTACATTTTGAGTGGGGAGGATTGTGTGTGTGTGTGTGTGTGTGTGTGTACGTACATTTTGTGTGGGGAGGATTGTGTGTGTGTGTACATTTTGTATGTGTGTGTACATTTTGAGTGGGGAGGATTGTGTGAGTGTGTACATTTTGTGTGTGTGTGTATACATTCTGTGTGGGGAGGTGTGTGCGTCTGTACATTTTGTGGGGGGTATGTGTGTGTGGGTATGTGTGTACATTTTGTATGTGTGTGAGTGTGTACACTGTGTGTGTGAGAGTGTACATTTTGTGTGGGGAGGATTGTGTGTGTGTGTACGTACATTTTGAGTGGGGAGGATTGTGTGTGTGTGTGTGTACATTTTGAGTGGGGAGGATTGTGTGTGTGTGTACGTACATTTTGTGTGGGGAGGTGTGTGTGTGTACATTTTGTATGTGTGTATACATTTTGAGTGGGGAGGATTGTGTGAGTGTGTACATTTTGTGTGTGTGTGTATACATTCTGTGTGGGGAGGTGTGTGCGTCTGTACATTTTGTGGGGGGGTATGTGTGTGTATGTGTGTACATTTTGTATGTGTGTGAGTGTGTACACTGTGTGTGTGTGTGTGTGTACATTTTGAGTGGGGAGGATTGTGTGTGTGTGTGTACGTACATTTTGTGTGGGGAGGTGTGTGTGTGTACATTTTGTATGTGTGTATACATTTTGAGTGGGGAGGATTGTGTGAGTGTGTACATTTTGTGTGTGTGTGTATACATTCTGTGTGGGGAGGTGTGTGCGTCTGTACATTTTGTGGGGGGGTATGTGTGTGTATGTGTGTACATTTTGTATGTGTGTGAGTGTGTACACTGTGTGTGTGAGAGTGTACATTTTGTGCAGGGAGGAGTGTGTGTGTACTGTGTGTACATTTTGTGTGAGGATTGTGTGTGTGTACATTGTGTGTGTGTGTGCATGTGTACATCTTGTGTGGGGAGGGGAGGATTGCGTGTGTACATTTTGTAAGGGGAGGATTGAGTGGGTGGGTGTACATTTTGTTTGTATATGTTATGAGTATGTTTGCATATTTTGTTGGTGTGAATGTACACGTTTTGTCCATGAGTGTGTTCCACACACTCCTCTCTGTGTGTATATATATTGTGTGTGTGTGTGTTTATGCCTCTCATGCTTTGTGTATAATGTACACAAAGAAACCAGACATACGGGAGATATACATTTATCTTTGTGTTTACCATATCTGTGTGCATTTGCATGTTATACGTGTGTGAGAGGGTGTGTGTATGGGTTGTTGTGAATGCTTGTGTTTGCACAGGTGTGTTTTCAGTGTGTGTGTATAATTATATGGAATAATATGTTGCGTGTGTAGATCTGCGATGGGGTTTCTGAGGAGTGTGTTATAAGTGTGTGGATGTGGGGGTGGTTTGTTTGTGTGTATATTTTGTGGGTGCATCTTAAGTGTATGGTGTGTATACAAACACACACAGTGCAGAGCTCATCCCCTCCAGCACGGGGCGGCAGGCGTGCACCCACACACCATAGATTTTTAGGTATGTTCTTCTGTGGGGTGTGATTATGTATGTGTATCCCTGGTATGCAGAGGTGCTTCTGGGAGTGAGTGTGTGTATGTTTTGTGTGTGTTTGTGTGTAACTGTATGGGGTGCAGTTTGCTGTGTGTTGCTGGCTGGCCACAGTGTGACGTTTGTGTACGTGTGTGTGTGTGTGTGTGTGTGGTGGACGTTGTAGGTGACTCTAAGGGTATGTTTCTGTGGGGTACATGTGTGTCTGAGCCTGCTTGTGTGCACCTTTGTCGCTGTGTGTGTGTGTGTGTGTCCTGCACAGAAATCCCAGCACGCAAGTGTACACACACCCCTTTACACCTGGAGGTGATTCCAATACTAGACTGGTTAGAGAAGGGGGGTTGGGAGCCAGGACTCCTGGGTTCTCTCCCCAACTCTGGGAGGGGAGTGGGGTCTAGTGGTAAGAGCAGTGGGGGCTGGGGGCCAGGACTCCTGGGTTCTCTCCCCGACTCTGGGAGGGGAGTGGGGTCTAGTGATTAGAGCAGTGGGGGCTGAAGGCCAGGACTCCTGGGTTCTCTCCCCGACTCTGGGAGGGGAGTGGGGTCTAGTGATTAGAGCGGGGGGGCTGGGGGCCAGGACTCCTGGGTTCTCTCCCCAGCCCCAGGGTCGTTAGATCGTGAGGAGCGTTAATAGCCCGTGTTGGATTCTGTGCGAGACCTTGCAGGTACCTGCCCTGAGACGCCCCTCGCTCCCGACCCGCAGCCCCGGGCTCCCCCCCCCCCTTTCCATTGACCCCCCTCCCCCCTTCTCTCCACAGATGATCCCGCGGGAGGGACCCCGGTGAGCCGGAGGACTCAGCGGGGTGGGCGGGGGGGGGAGGAGAATCCGGCCTGGGCAGCGCCATGGTCCCGCTGTGTTGGCCCTGCGTGCGCTGCTGCCCGGACCCCCCGGCCGCCATGAGCCGGCCCCCCGCCCCGCGGCCCCCCGGCCCGTCCTACCGCTACCGGAGCTTCTGCGGGGACTTCGAGCGGGTGGAGACGGCGCTGGAGCGGCTGGAGGCCAGCGGCTTCTACTGGGGCAGCCTGTCGGGGGCGGAGGCCAAGCGGCTGCTGAGCCCCCACCCGCCGGGGGCTTTCCTGGTCCGCGACTCCTCCGACCACCGGCACCTCTTCACCCTCAGCCTCCGCACCGGGGCCGGCATCACCAACCTGCGCATCCAGCAGCGGGGGGCCGCCTTCCACCTGGAGACCCAGCCGGGGGCCCCCGGCCCGCCCGCCTTCGCCTGCGTGGTGCAGCTGGTAGAGCACTACCTGGGGCGGGCCGGGCACCCGGGGGCCCCCTGCTACCTGGAGGCCCGGGGCAGCCGCCCCGAGCCCCTGGCCCTGGCCCGCCCGCTGCGCTGCAAGGTGGCCTCGCTGCAGGAGCTGTGCCGGCGGGCCGTGCGGGCCAGCGTGCGGGCAGGGACGGGGGGCCCCGATCTGGAGGGGCTGCCCGTGCCCCGGGCCCTGCGCAACTCCCTGCGCTGCTAGGGGGCCGCGCCCCAGGCCCTACCGAACTGTCGGCCCAGCGGGAGGGGAGGGGAGCGAGGGGGGACTCCCCCCCCCCGACGCTCATGGGAGGCGGTGGGGGGGTCCAGGGAGCCTCCCGTAACAGATGGGGGAGGGGAGGAAACCCCAGAGCAGGACCCCCTCTGGGACACCCCCGCTATTTCCAGCGCAGCGGGAGGAAGACCAGGGAAGGGGTCTGTACCCCACACCCTGTGAAAAACCCAGCACCACAGGGTTGGGAGAGACCGGAGGGGGGGGGCAGACTGGCATCAGCCCCCTGGCAGCTCCGGCGTGTGGGAGAGACGGGACTGGAGGGGGAGAAAGGCCTGGAGTGGATGGGGCTCTTTGGGCCAGGGCTGCGATCCAGGATAAGAACTGGGAGGGGGACACAGGAATTGGTGGGGACTGGAAGCCAGGACTCCTGGGTTCTCTCTCCAACTCTGGGGAGCGGGATCTAGCGATTGGAGGGAGGGGACTAGGAGCCAGGACTCCTGGGTTCTCTCTCCAACTCTGGGGAGCGGGATCTAGCGATTGGAGGGAGGGGACTAGGAGCCAGGACTCCTGGGTTCTCTCCCCAGCTCTGGGGAGGGCATGGGGTCTACATCCCACCTATAGCCAGAGGAGCCAGAGCGGACCGTGGCCCCGTGTTGGGGCTCCCACCTCATCCCCCGGAGGGCGTCCCGCCAACCTCACGGACCTCGTCTTCCCCCCAGGAGCGCTTGTGGCCCCGTCACTACCAGCCGGGCTGGGCCGTGGGCTTGTACCGCTGCATCGGGACAGAATAAACCTCGGTCTGCTGCACCCTGCCTCCCGCCACTGCTTTGGGGCTGCCTGGGACCCGGGGGATACAGGGGCAGCCCCTCAGAGCCCCCACACCCTAAGAGGGAAAAGCCCCATGAGCCAGCCAAGACCCAGGCCTGGGACCAGAGCCGGGCTGGTGCCCCCCAGAGCAGTGGCTGCAGCTCAGCGCTGGTTGAGGGATCCTCCTGTAAACGGCCCCCCCGGGCCCCACCCCAGGGGCTGCTGCATCTAGAGTTGACCCCGTCCTGACCCCCTTCCGCGCCCGGCTGTTCCCGTAAGGCTCTTGGCACCACATCCGCTGACTCAGGGGAGCAAAGTTACTGAAAGTCGCTCCACGGTTCAGGAAAAAACCCAGCTGCTTCCCCCCCTCCGGCTTTCGTTTCCCCCAGCAGCTGGGCTGAGGGTCAAGGGGCCGGCGTGGGGGGCCCCCAGCTGCACTGTGCCAGTTATCACAGCCCAGGGCTGTTCCCCCAACCCCCCTTTCCCATCCCTGGCCCAGCTCCAGCCTTTCACCTTCATTTCCCAGCAGGTCCCAGCCCTGGTCCCACCTCCCTCTGGGGGGTGGGGCTCCCCCAGGTGATACAGCACCAGGTGCTGGGGACAGGGCAGGTCTCACCCCTTTCTCCTTAACCAGCCCCCCGTAAAGCCACCCACAAACATTGCTTGCCCCCGTTTGCTTCTCAGCCAGGCAGGGGCCCCAGCCCCCTTCTCAGGGCGGGAGGACTCCTGGGGGGAGCGAAGAGCAGCCAGACTGGGTCAGACCAAAGGTCCAGCTACCCCTGGACCCCAACTTCTGCCAGGGCCAGGTGCCCCCCAGGGAATGAACACAACAGGTGACCACCCACTGATCCATCCCGGTGTGCCCACTGCCAGCTTCTGGCACAATAGGAGGGGAGTGAGGTCTAGCTGACAGCAGCCTGGCATCCCCCAGTGCCATGAGGCAGGAAACAGCAGGGCAGGGGTCCCACCTCAAGTCCCTCAGAGAATGGGCCTTCCCCCTCTTCTTGAAGCCCCCAAGGCCATGGCACACCTCCTACCCATGTGCCCAGACCCCAGCACATCTCCCCCCCCACCCCACCCCCAAGCTTGGCTGGGGCAGCATTGGGCCAGAGGGGCTAGGACCCAGAGGACCATTCAGTGTGAGGGAGGGGTACTCCTCTTCACCCCCCCCCCCAAATGCCCCAGTCTAACCCCAGAACAGAGGCATCCTAGAAATGTCCCTGAAGCAGCCAGCACCTGGAGAACCCAGCCCAGGGCACAAACAGGCCAAGCTCCTCCCCCAGTGTTGAGCTGGGGGGCAGGGAGAGGGAGGGCCCAGCCATACTGAACTGGGCCCTATGGCCTTTGCAACACAGCCCCCAGCTACTTCCCCTTCCTGCCCCTCCCTGGGAGTAGCCTCCACCCCCATTAGCATCAGCCAGCCACTGATCAGGGTTAACCCTCCAACCCAACCACACCCCCAGTGTGGAAACAGGCAGCAGGTCCATGCCCCAGTTTTATTTCCAAGGGCCGGTGCAGCCTGCAGGGGGGAAGGGCAAGCAGCAGGCAGGACAGGGCTCACTTCCAGACAGAACAAGCTGGGGAAACTGCCTGCTGCAGGGCCCAGGAGACACTGCAAAGGGCCTCCCGCTCACAGCCCAGAGCCGCCCCCCCCGCCCCCCAAGTGAGGCACAAGAGAGGTCTGAGCATTTGCTGTGAGGCTGGGGTCCAGCAGCCCTGATGCCCCAATGCAAGGACCCCACGAACAGTCCAATCCCAGGGCGGGGGGAGTCCAGTTCAGCTCCACTCCAAACTGGTTTATTGAGAGATACAGCAATGCAGGCTGCCCAGCAAGGGGAGCCGCCCAGGCCTTTAATCCTCCTCTTCCTCATCCGCCCCACCAGCGCCACCCTGCCCCTTCTTGGCGTTCTTCCTCTTGACACGGCCAGGCCGGCCGCCCCCATAGGGCGAGCGCAGCGAGAAGTCGATGTGCTTCTGCGAGTCCAGGCGCACGATGAAGGATGGGATGTTCACGACCTGCTTCCGCACACTGGGGAAAGGGAGAGGGGGTGAGGGCAGGCACAGGAAGCCACCTACCCACAGTGCTCTGGGGCAACGGGACCCCTCAGGATTTAACATGCAACCCCTGGGGAAAATGCTCCACCCCTTCGCCATCTCTTAGCTCCTCCCAGACACTCCCCAGAGCCAGCTGCACATCAGCTGCCCCTAGATTCCCAGTCCCCTCCGCCCCACCCTCCAAGCCAGCTCCTGCTGTTACCAGGTGTGAATCCAGAGTCCAAAGAAAAGGGGTGACCCTCTGGATTGATGCTAGGGGAGCAGCGATCAGAAGCCAGCCCTATTCCCACTGCAAAAGAGGAGTGACTCCAGATTGACACCAGGGGAGCCAAGATCAGAACCAGGTCCCACTGAACCAAGCTCCATTCCCAGGTAGCCCTGGGATCCAATCTCCATTGGCAGACCCCTCCCAGCGTGGGGCACGGAGCAGGCAGTGGCTCGTTACCTTTGCAGCAGCCCCAAGCGCAGGGGGCTGGTGGAATGGCCTGGCCCTTCGCAAGGTGTACGGCTCTGCCGCAGTGAGCCTTGCCGACATGGGCGGCCCTACCGCCCACTACCCGGAGCGCAGGATTAGACCAACCGGGGGGTTCCCCAGGCCAGAGCCTGCCCCTCTGGGCAGGGGGCTCCATGCACCTCACAGGCTCATCCAGGAGGGCTACACAACACAGCAAGAGCAAAGCTTTAGCACGGGGAGGGTCGGAGCAACAGCCAAACTCCCCACGTCCTTGGGATCAGCTTTGCCCTGGGTCCTTGGCAGGGTCAATCACCGAGAACGGGGCCACTGACCTGCCTGCCACATGGCCCCTCCTCACGAACTCACCAGCCGGGGGAGATACCACCCCAGCGAACCAGCAGGTCCAGGTGGCAGAGTCAATAACTGAACCCAGGAGTCCTGGCTCCCAGCCCCCACCCCTACTGTAACCCACTACTAGACCCTCCCCTCCCAGAGCCAGGGAAGAGAACCCAGGAATCATAGAATCATAGAATCATAGAATATAAGGGTTGGAAGGGACCCCAGAAGGTCATCAAGTCCAACCCCCTGCTCAAAAGACCAATCCCAGTTAAATCATCCCAGCCAGCGGCCCCTAAAACCTCTAGGAAGGAGATTCTACCACCTCCCTAGGTACGCACCAGTGTCACCCCCCCTTAGAAAAAAGGTTTTCCCAAAAACCAATCCAAACCCCCCCCACTGTACTGAGACCATACCCCGTTCGAGAGTCCTGGCTCTCAGCCCTCACCCCTGATGTAACCCACTAGACCCCCCCACCCCCCATACACACAGAGCGTGGCACACGGCTGCCCTACCGGATGTGCCTCTGGCGGATCAGCACCCGGGCATGGTGGATGGACTTGGCCAGCCCCAGCTTGAAGACCTGGGTCTGGAGGCGCCGCTCCAGGAAATCCTCAATCTTGAGGCCCAGGATATAATCCAGCTTCATCTTGCCCTCATCCAGCACCCCGATGCGCACCAGCCGTCGCAGCAGGGCATTGCCTGGGGGAGGGGGGGGGGTGGAGACAGGAGTCAGATCCCAGGGACCCTGCCCCTTCCCCTCCCAACTTCAGACATCCACTGGGACCAGCTCCCAGCACCCCCCACCATGTCACCCCCCCATATCCTGCCCCCCTACCTTCAAAGAGGCGCTTGGGGTCCTTCTCATCCAGCGTGAGCAGCTCACGGGCCGCCTTGCGGATCTTGGCCAGGGTGAACTTCACCCGCCAAACCTCACGCTTGTTCCGCAGCCCGTATTCACCTGGGGAGGAGCAGGGCTGTTACCAACAGGCAGCCACTTCTGGGGTGGGGCGCAGGGGCTGGTTATATGGGGGACCCCTCACCAGGCACTGGGACACAGTTCAGGACTGTATCCTACTGACTAGAGAGGCAGCAGGTTGAATATTACCTGGCTTAATGGGGTTAAATCTCCTAAAGATCAGAAAACAAATCACTGGGCCATTAATGCTGCATCTAACACAAGCTGCATATGGTGGCACAGCGCCCCCTAGTGCCAGCCCTGACTGCAAGTGAGAGCGCCCCCTGCTGAGCCCCCCCACCCTGCTTCCTGCAGCCCAGCACCCCCTAATGTAGCCCCAGGGCCAGCCCTGACTGCCAAGGGAGAGCACCCTTGACCCACTCCCTGGAGCAGTGCCCCCTATGAGCCCCCCCCACAGCACAGTGCCTCCTGCTAAGCTCCAGCCAGGCACCAGCCTGATTCCCCCCCACCCCACCCCCAAAACTCACCAATGAGCTTCAGCTCCTGGTCGAGGCGGGATTTCTCAAAGGGGCGCCGGGGGGTGACATAGGTCTTCCGGCACACCCAGCTCCTGGCAACGGGCATCGCGACCAAGGCTGTGGGCTCCGGCCCTGCGGGAGAGGCAGAGGGAATGAGCTAGGAAGAGACAGGACAATTCTGCTGCATCCCCAGCCACCCCACAAACCCAGGGTGCAGCTTTTCCCGGGAGGGAACGGCTGTCAGACCAGGACACTCGTTTGGAGAAGGGGGCACATACAGCCCCTGGCATAAGGGTGGGGGATTGCTGGAGCCCGTGGTGGGTGCAATGAAGTCAGCAAAGCTATGAAGCCGGGACCCACAAGCCCTAGGAGGGGGAGTCTTTGTTGGGGATCTGTACAGCACCAAGCGCAGCAGTTACACAACCCACTGCACGGTGCTGCGGACCCAACCCTCGTTACAGGAATCAGGGGCAAGGGTGACACCATGCACGAGGACAGGGGCCCCAGGGCTGCCAGGCCCCTGCAGCCAGCAGAGCCCAGGGCCCCTCCCGTGCCGGGGTGAAGAGGGAGGCGCTGCGGGTCAGCCCGCAGCAAGGCTGGAAGCGACAGGGGCATCTGCGGGGTGTGTAGGGGGTGCCCTGGGGGCCGGCACGGGGGCAGCTTCGGCTCGGGGCGCAGCTGGTCTCTCCTTCGTAGCCCTGTTTGCGAGAACCCCGCA